GTGAGGGTCCAGGGCAGTGAATGCAGTGCTGAGTCAATCCACAGGAGCTCAGGAGACCTGCACACTCTCTGACTGAATGACAGATGGAAGGTTAAATACATAAGGATTTATATTGCTCCACTTTTGCCAAATCAAGGCAAACAAAAAGGTGGAAGGGAAAGGAAGAAGTAGCCTCATGCTTTCGTTCCAAAAGTATTCTAACTTCAGCAGCAGTGCTTGCAGATACATCTTCAAACAGGATTTGACCAGGTGTTGTGTGAATAGAAATTGTCTGATTTTGCCCTGTGTTGACACAAAAGGAGAAGATGGAGATGAGATATTCAGACTGCAGCCTACCACAGCAGCACATGTGCCTAGAGCTTTCTGGGGAGGATGGGTGCTTCCAGCAGCCTGTTTCCCACCCATGGATGGGGGGCTTGGAATCAGCCTCACAGCTCCAGGTCCCTGTGCTTTTCACTTTTCACTCTGTGCTGCCAGCACAGAACTGGTGCAGCACCTTGCACAGTGCCTGGCTTGTTGCCCTGTGCTGCTGCTCAGGTGGGGCTGGAGCACCCTGAGCCCCCCCTGCCCTGGGGAAGGCTGTCTGGTTGTAAAGGCTGGTCACCACCATCCTGGAGTGTGATTGTCACCACGATGGGCTGCTGGGTGTGACAATGGACAGCATTGTTAGTCATATGATTTAGTTTTAGATAGGCCTTCAGGGAGCTGGACTTGATGATTCCATGGGTCCTTCCAGCTTGAGATACTCTGGGATTCTGTGTGGCTTATTTGACCTGCATTTATCTTTAATCCAGCTATGAGATACAAAATCCAAGTTTCCTTTGTCTTTGGTGGGCTCTGCTCATTCCTCAACATCCCCTGGGATGCCAGCCTGTCTCCACTGTCTACAGACATCCTGGGAAAACTCCAGCTTAAGCACCTCAGGGAGGCACCTGACATGAGGCTGGATTAATCTGGTCATTTGTGCCTTATACTGGCACAACCAGAGTCACGAGCTTTGGAAAAGGCATTGCAAGTGAGAAGGTCAACAAAAGCATGCTGGATTGTCATTAGGCTAAAAGCTTAACATAATTATACTAAAAGAATTTGGGGTTCTTTGAGTGCATCTGTCATTTGATTCCCAACCTCAAAGAGACCAAAAAAGTGACCTGCTTTCACAGTCTGGCAGCTCAGTGTCACTGGAAAGCAGATTTCTTTTTAAGGGGATCCATGTGGACATAGAAATCTGCCATTGCTTTTGGAAACTGAGGTAATCTTAAGTTTGCTTTTACTTAAACTGAAAGCACTGTGTTAGCAGCCAGGAGGACTGGGTATTATTAGTAACCTTTTACAGGAAATGTGGTGTGTCATGGGTTAGGCATATATTTTTTTTCTGGAAAATGCAGTGTAAAGTGAAATGTGGGAATAAGTAAACATAAAGTGCTTATTCAGCAGTTCATTCTGTTTGAATGCCCAGCAATGCAACTCTGAGGTTACCTGCTCATGAAGGAAGCAGGGAATGATATTTGAGATTTATTTTTGGCTAAAAGCATGAAATGCAAATGTTTCTTTGTGCAAAATGTCAGCTGCATTTCTGGGAAGAAAATAAGATTGCTTTAATAATCCATGGTAAATAACACCACTGAGATTGCTACCACCTATTACATTTACCTGCAGGTGTATCTAGACAAACATAACTAATGTACATATGTAGCTTGGTGTCTGAAATGAATACAGAAAAGTGAATCAAGGTGTTCCAAACCTTTAGTGAACAGCAGTTAATGAAGAAAAGGATGAAAATTAAGCTTCAGATAATGAAATTCCCGTGCATATAAGGAGATATTAATGTATGGAAATGTCTGGGCTACCACTACTCTGCAGAGATCTCAGGCTTTACTGTTTTGCCTGATGAGGACCTCTGGGGATACTGCAAGGTGTCCATCCTGGCCTCCAGCTAGACACAGATCTCCCAGAACAGTGTGTCCTTCTGGGCAATGGCCTGAGGATGACTTGGGCATGGAAGGGTCAGTTGGCATGAGACATATTTGCAGATGCACGTAGCCCTGGCATCGTCACCTGTGCTTGGTCAGTCTCTGTTGTCCACAAGATGAATTTCTGATTGAAATGGTGCACCATTAGACCCTCAGGGTTTGGTGTCTGAGGCTAGTGTCTCCAGCTGCCATCCTTGATGAGCAATTCAGACCCCTAAATTTGGCCAGTCTGTGTCCTCCTGCAACACATGGGATGCCCTGGTTGGATGGCAGCTGGAGATTTGGGAGGACACAGACCTCCTGTAGGTCTGCTGCAGGTATCTCAGATACCCTCCAGCATCAGAACACACCTCTGTTAAGGTAAGTGAATTGTACCTATACAGTCCACAAGATTTTTATTCTGGATTCCTTTATCCCCTCCCTTCCTCCAGCTGCTCCCTCTTACATACACACATGCTTATTTTCAGGACACTTGTAGCAGCATGGTTATCTCTGAGACCTCATCCTGCTGTCAAACTGGGTTGAAAATGGCTAAAAGGGATCTATCAGTGCCTCCTTCCCTGATGGGCTCCCACCTGCTTGGCTGCACATCCACTGCTCTGGTTTCACACAGCATCACCTGCAGTACCTGCGAGTGGGGTGTGAAAGGAAAAATTGATTCCCACCAGGCCACCACAGCGATGAGGAGACCCACACAAGCTCTCAGTGTGGTGGACCAGCTAAGAAACAATTAGCTTTAATCTCACTTAACTTTAGAGCAGGGCAGTGCTGGGGCAGCAATGGTTTTTTCAGTGGTTCATAATGGACAGGGGCATCTGCTGTGCCACCAGCTGCTTTTGTTTTCAATCACAGTGATTGCAAAGGGTACTTTACAAAACAGCACTGACGGGGCACTTCAAACACAGTGCCATCAGAGTGATTAGGACCAGGTTTTCAGAATTCTATCCCATATATTCTGAATATTTGAAGTAAGAGGAAACAGGGTAAGGGAATGATAGCAGAAGATAATGGCTCTTTGGTAAGGCCCAGTTAAATGGAAGTACTTTTTATGCTGTTTATGTTGGTCTAGCAGGTGTTATCCACTTAAAGTACTATCAGAAAGAGAGAAGTTAGGAGGCTTACAGGTATATCTGGTAGCATTAAGAGATCACAGAGAAAATACCTGCACAAAGTCCATTTTATTGCTGTAAATGGCAGGAGGGCTGCAGCACTGACCTCTCCTTGCCAGTACCCAGAGCTGTCACCCACCCACTCGGCACAGGCAGCAGTTGAGTTGATACCAGGCAATTTGGGATTGGTTTGTTTTGGGGTAAATATATTTTAGCAGATATTGGTTTGAGTCACTTTTGCCCTGTTCCTGACATCCCAAGCATCCATCTCCAGCGTGAACTTTTTGCCATGATAAATCCAGCACAAAAGCTGTGATTTACTTCTTCTCAGACCACGAGCAGATGTAATGTTCAATATACAGCAACTGGTGACCAGCCTGTGAGATATATTACTGGGGATGGTCTTTGAGAAGAAGCTGGCTTTATTTATTGGATATAATGGTATATATTCGGGGCAGGGGTGTTAAAAGAGGTTTAAACCATCAAATATGTCGCTTAAATGCGTAGTTGTGTCTACTCTTGCCACGCACTGCCAGCAAAATCTGAAGTGCCAAGAACAAGAGGAAGGTAACACACAATCTCAAGTTCAGTTTGGATCTTTTCATAGACCTCTGAAAATCTTCAAATAGCTTTTTTTTTTTCCTGACTAGTAACAGCATTTTCAGGACCAAGCCTGCTTTGGGAGTAAGTCTTGCTCAGATTTGGCCACAATAATCTGGTTGTGATGGCTTGTTTTAGCCTGGAGGGAGAAGTTTTTGAAGCTATATGACTTCAGAGGTGTTTATTCGCAGTCACAATAGATTTCCTTCATGGCCCAGAGGACATTTAAAACAAGACTGTCTGTGAAAATGCATACAAATGTTTAGAAATATTTCCAAATGTACAGTGTGGTTGAAGTGCCTTGCCTATGTACATCATTGTCATAGAATCATAGAAAAATTAGCATTGGAAAGGACCTTTAAAGGGCACCTAGTCCAAACCCCTGCAGTGAGCAGGGACATTTTTAGCTAGATCAGGCTGTTCAGAGCCCCATCCAACCTGACTTTGAATGCTTCCAGTGATGGGAACGTGCTCCTCACCATCCTCATCTTCAAAAATTTCTTCCCTGAATCTAGTCTGAAACTCCCCTCTTTTAGTTTAAAGCTGTTTCCCCTTGTCCTATTGCAACAATCCTACGAGAAACTTTGTCCCCATTTGTTCCTATAGACCCTGTTTAAGCACTGAAAGGCCACAGTGAGGTCTTCCCAGAGCTTTTTGGGTTTTGGGGTTTTTTTCTATTATATTTCTGAGCTTTACATTTTATTTTCCATGGTTTGGTGTGTTGAGGGTGGAGAGGGAGGACGGGAATGTCAGTTTGTGTTATTGTGCATGATAAACTTTTGCACCTGAGGTCAATGTGTTTGAAAATGCCTGCAGACTCCTTTTCCTGCTAAAACCACGTGCAATTAGAGGGATTTCCATGATGGGGCTACAGTGCCGCAGATGAGATGAAACTCAGACCCTCCTGTTTCCAGGACCAAACATGTCTTAGTTGGGATGATCACAACACAAAGCAACACACTCCATTTTCAGAAGGCTTCAAACCTGTTTTTATTATAGCATGCATGCTTTTTATACATTCTTACAAAACTCATGAGTTTACTCATGAGTTTTTTTAGTTCATTAAAAAACTTTACTCATTGGTCACGAAAGACAAAGTGCTTATTGGAATAGGCAGTTGCAGGTTTCTCTTACTTATCCTTCTTTCTTTCTTGGTTTCTATGTCAATGACCCTAGTAGAAAATTCTTTCAGGTTTGAACACGGGTCCTCTAATCAAACTTCTCTCTGGCTCACAGAAGTCGCTATAAAACCTCTTCCACACAAACACATGCCCCCCACATTTAAAGTTCACTGATTTCCTTTTACCTTCACTCCTTTCAGGTGCTCAACCTGTTCCTTGCCTTGCTGCTGAGCTCCTTCAGCGCCGACAACCTCTCGGCCCCGGACGAGGACGGCGAGATGAACAACCTGCAGCTCGCCTTCGCCCGCATCAACAGGGGCCTGCAGTACGCCAAAAAAGCCGCCTGGAACTTCTGCTGCAACGTCCTCCGGCACCCCAAGACCACAGCTGAGAAGAAGGCCATGATGAAACTCGCTGCCCAGAACCCAGGAGCCCTCAACAACTGCGTGAACAGCCACGCCACCGCCGAGCTCGGCAAAGACGTGGAGAACCACAAGGAGAATCGTGCTGAGGATGGAGTGAATAAAAACGGAGAGAAACACCCAGCCATTACGGATGATGATTTTATGACCAATCCTGACCTGTCCATTTGTGTTCCTATTGCTGTGGGTGAGTCGGATATCGAGGAGGAGGATGAGGAGCAGAGCACCTTTACGGAAATGGAGCAGGTAGGCAATTAAAATATTTGTTAATTTCAGCTTATTAAATGCCCTCTGTTCCCACCCTTGGTCTGGATCCATGGCTAGAGATGCAAATGTCCTATGGCCTAATCCTGCCTTTGATGTGCTGCTAACTTCAGAAGAAGTTACAGATGCATATCCAAGAGCAAAATTCAGTTTCCAACAAGAGAAATTTCCTTTCTTTGTATTCTTTGCGCTTGTCTAGATTAATTCTTCTAACCAGAGCAATTAAATCCTTTCTCACACAGCAGACTGGTTCTTTTGCCTTTCAGCTAAATCATGGGAATGCTACAGAACAAATCTTAGGTTAGTGGAAGATTTTTCTCAAAATGGGCTCTGTCTTGGTTTGATTTGTGCAATGAGAATTGAAGTCCAGGTAGTTCTCTTCAAAATACAATAAGACAGAAGATGATATGACAAGGCACCAGAAAAAGAGAGAAGATGTGTTATCATTTGTATTCTGACAAGAAAAAGTTATTCACCTCCTCTTTGGTGTGACATGGCAGATTTCCATTTTTTTTCCAGAGCACTCAGTAGTGAAGGCTGAAAAATCCTGTGCAGTTTGAAGTGTTGTATGAAATGAAGAAACATCTTCAGGGGAATGCTTTTCTTTGTCTCCTTCTCCCCCTCTCCCTTTTCTACCAGCTTTATCTCTTGGCTCCACACACCATATCTAGTTAATGTTTTCCAGAGCCTCCACCTTGATCCAGCACCTGATGCTGGCTGAAACCAATGGAGTTCAGCAGGCACTAGATCACAGCTCCTGCTTCAGATCCAGCAGTCGGGAGGGATCCTTGATCTCTTGGTTGAGGGGAAGAAAGTTTGAAAAACAGAAGAGTTGTTAGAGAAGGAAGGACTGTCGTAAAAAAGCTCCAAGGAAGGACTCTGTGTCAGGAGCTGGGCACAAATCAGTTGCTTAAGGTTAATTTCTGCTGCTGTGTTGTGTAAATCTCTTTAGTGTCAGTGCATCACCAAAAAGTCTTTCACAGTGATCATCTCACTGGGGAGTGGAACAGCAAGAGGTCAGAAAACTTAATCACAAGCTCCACTGTCCAAATAGAAACCTAGGTAATAAAAAGACAAATCTGCAATTTTTGGTAAACACCTTTAGGGTGGGTTTTTTGTGTCTGTTTAGGGACTATTTTATTGAAATGATCTGTGGATCAGTGTGGTAGTATGAATAATATCTAGTTTTTCTCTTCAAAGTCCTTCTCTATTCCCCGGCTGTATTTGAACCAACAGCCAGAGAACATTTGAAATGTGAAATAGGAATGCAGCAGATGAAGAAGAGGATTGGAAAAAAAGAAGTAATTAATGAATTGAGACAAAGAGAGTTTAATAGGAAAGAAAAGAAAGATATAATAATAATAATAATAATAGTAGTGGAACTAGAATATGCAAAACAAGTGATGCTAAGGCATTTGCTCACACTTGTTGACTGATGCCCAGGCAGTTCCCAAGTAGTGACCCCTGGCCAGCTTTTTCCCCAGTTTATATACTGAGCATTTATTCTCATTCTCAATCCAAAACATGCCCCCATACCAGCTACTGGGAAAAAAAGTAACTTTATCCCAGCTTAAACCAGGGCTGTTCCTTAGTGTCAGGTGAGCTGTAAATATTGCCTAGTGTGTATGTGGATAATAGTGTATAACTATGTTTAATTATAGAATTCTGTGTTTGGTGATTTTTTTTCCTTTAGGTCTTTAAAGATTCCCACACCTTTCTGCTGTGTCTGACAGATGGTAACAATCTCAAACAATCTCAGAATTTTTTCCTTCACACTGAAAGCAAGAGCTTGTTGAAATTTTGAACTCTGGAAGTGTGTGCCTGTGTATGCTCAGGGTTGTGTGTTGCACAACTGTATCATTCCTCTCTCAAGATAAATAGTAACATTCACAATTGCAAGATAAATCCCAGCATAGGGCATGGAGGGCTTGGGATTTTTATGTCTTAATGTGCTTTAGAAGTGTAGAAATGCAGATTTCTCTTTAGCTGCACTATGTGTGTAAATTAGTGGAAGAAACAGGTTACCATCATTTTATACTGTATATGTGGAATTAGAGCTTTAGTAAGATCTATTAGAGTCATGAAAGAAAGAGCTGATGTAGAAAAAAAGGCAGTTCACTGAAACAATATTATGGATAAAAGCTGATGTGGAAATATTTAGAAAACTCCTAAAAGTTTCAATAATATTGAAATGTCATCACATGTAATAGAAATATTGGGGATTCTGAGTGAAACAAAACAGGAGGAAACAAAACCCAGTAGGAGAAGCAAACCAAGATTCTGCTTTCCCACTGTATCTATTAATGAAATTCTCAATAAACATCAGAGGAACATTGTCGCATTACCACGAGATATTTGGATTGCAGTGAAATAATGTGGTTCACTGCTGGCATGTGCATTAAACAGAAGGCATGGAGTTGAGAAATGAATTAATTAGCCTTGTCACTAGTGCTTTCCAGGCTTGGACAAACAGCTGCTGCAGGTCACTGCTGTTCCCCTGTGCAGAGCCCTGATCAATGGTTTGCAGTTTTTATCTGCAGGTCTGAGGGGTCTACTGCTGAAAAGGTCCAAATAAGCAGAGAGTTCGTATATCCAGAAAACAATTTTAAAAAATTCCTGGAGGGGAAAATGTGTGTGTACAAGGCTGTTCCAACTCAAAAACTCAAAATGCATTGGCATAATAAATAAACAAAAATAGGAAGAAGCTAAACAGCAGAAATTATAATTGTGTGATGAGCTTTGCATTTGCTTTTCTGCAAAACCCTAATAAATTTGCACAGCTGTAAATATCTCCAAAAGGAGCAGAGCCATGAGAAAGCAGATGCCAACAAATTCAAGGATCTGTCATTTTTACTGGTGCCCACTGCAAAGATGCATGATCTCCGGACTCAGAGAAAAATTTTCTTGATCCACCTGTGGGTTACTGCAGGAGAAATTACTGCATCTGAAGGCTGATATGAAATCCCAATTCCTTGGATATTGAGTTGTGGGACTTTACAGTAGGCTCACCCTTTCATCAAGGACATCCCTGTGGGACTGTGGGGAATAAATTTCCTCACTCACAGCCAGAAACTTTAATCCTGCAAGCCCCAACTCCAAGGGTGTCCTTACCTCCTCCCCTCCAGGATGTCCAGGATAACCAGATTAGAGCTCCCAAAGGAAGAACAATAAGAACAAGAGCAAAATTTACATGATTGCACTGAGAGGGCACAATTAGGGTGAAGTATCATTTTGTGCAGAGGGCATCACGCAGAAACCAAACAAGAAATGCCAAGGGTATGCTAAGCATTCAAATATATTCCAACTTTCCCCTAATTACAATCCATATTTTTACATATTTCAATATTGTAGTATGTACAAAGGGAATGTTTATGTACATTTACTTCTGAGGAAAAGACAAAGTACCCTGCTTCCCTTTAAAGTTGTTGGCTGACCTGGAATTGAGCAGCCCTTTGGCAGCATTGCCAGAACGTGTTTTCCTCCTCCTGCAAGTGGATTTTGGAGCATGGAAGAGGAGGTGACAGGAGATGCATAAAAAGGGATAATGTGGATGAATGCCTCTGCAGTGCACAGCTAGTAAACCTACACAACTCTTACACACCCTTTACAAATTCTCTGTCAGTTGAAGATCCCAGAGCAGATATCCTGTGCTTCCATCAGTCTGACTCGTCCAGTCTAAAAGAGAGAGGTTAAAGGAATGCTGGTCTCTGGCAGAACCACAAAGTTATTGATCTCAATGGGGTGTTTTAGGGTGAGGATCATCTCAGCTTACAGCTCCTGTCCCAGAAAGGGTACTTCCCAGGTTCTTCCCAGAAAGTCACAAAACTACTCTAAAATAAGCCATTGTGACTAGGAGAAATGGGCCCCAGAGCATTGCACACGGCAGCTTGAAATTTCAGATGATGAGAAAACCTTCTGTGACTGCACGTTTTCCTCTGAGTAATAGAAATGTCTAAGTTTAAATTTCAGCTGCCATTTCTATTATCAAAGCTTGCACTGGCAGCAGCCATCTTCCTGAAATCTGCCAATTTGTGGCACTGTCATTGAGAGGGTTTTGAAGGAGTGAGCCCACCTGATGGCTCCCAAATCTCCTTTGATTACTGAGATGCAAGTGAGATGCTCTGCCAGCTCAGAGAGCCAGGGGACATGTACCTGTACCTGTAGCCCACACATCCCACAGTGAAAGGATCCAAAAGAAAAGCAGAACAATGAAAGTCAGCACAAGCACAAGAAAAACAGGGAGTGAGGCTGAGAAAGTGCTGCCTTGAGCTAAATTAATTTGTCACTGCTGTGTGATATGTGTGTTGCTGCTGGTCACTGCAGCATTTTAGTTTTTGTCTTTATCTAACCCCTTCTCCTTGACCTGTTCATAGTGCTGGGGAAGACTCTCCCTCTCAGTCCACAAGATTTCTTAAGGATTTAATGATTTTTAGCCTCATAATGAGAAAAAAGAATAACCCTCTTTCAATTTTTTCCCTGTCTTTGACATGTAAAGTATGGGTTTTCCCAGCAGGAAAACAGCTCGCAAGAGCTCAGCAGCAACCACAGTAAAGTACTGGCTGCATCTTCTCGAGGTTCTTTTGGGTTCTCATTTTGGCTTCCAAGATGATTAAAATGTCGAAGTTACCATCTTGAGCCTTCACAGAGTGTCTTGTAAGTGCTTTATGACCATTTTTCATATGTGGCATCACCTTTCAGTGCCCTGAAGAAGAAAGAAATAGATTATGGGGACAGCCAGGTGATGAGATAAGTGGATACAGTCCAGTCCGACTAATGCAATGGATTCTACAACAACTTACCTGCAATTTAGCTACATTGAAGGTTTCAGACATCAGAGGGGTTTGTACCATTTACATTAGATATCTAAGTGCAAAGCTTTTATCTTCAAAAACTTCTGCTTTACTTGTGCTTCCCTTTCAAGTGGCCCACAGCTGTAGCCCAGAACAGTGTGTACCTTCTTCACAGTGACATCACTTTTTGGT